GTCTTAGGTTTTTCCCCTAGCCATACTCAGTTTACTAATAAATTTATCAAAGGTATTCTTCATTTCTGTTACAGTGTTTAGATCTCTAGCATTTCTTTTTGGTTATTCCTAGGATTGATTTTCATCTCTCTGCTTACACTGCCATCTGTTCTTGCATGCTGTCTACTTTATTTGTTATCAACTACTCACTGTGGTCTTAAATTTCCAGTCTGATAATTCTGTTGCTCTGTTTCTTCAGATTACATATTTCCCCTTTAGTATGCCTGTCATTTTTTACTACACATATTATCTGCAATATACATGCCTGGCACTTGAAACAGGGAGCCAGACCATTAATAATGCCCCCAATGTATAGAGTTAAACTGTCAAAGAGAGAAAGTAAATGCGTCATTCTATAACCTAGAAAAGTACAATGGGTTCCTAGAAAGAAAAAGAAAACAGGCTGGCTTCATTGCACAATGATTAAGCATTCAGCAGAGACAGCAGAAAAGATAAACCAGAAGTTCTAAGGGTAGGGACACTACATTCCCACAATGGGGCATATTATAGTACTGAAGAAATCTATGAGAACAAAAGTTTAAGAAAGCAAGAATGACATTTCCCAGGCCAGCCTCATAGTGCAATGTTAAGGGAGCCAAATCCCACATGGTTGACAGTTATTTGAATCCTAGTACTGGTGGCCTGAAAAACATGCAAGTATTGGGACCAGCAGATGGTGTAATGATTACATCACTGGACTCCCACATAGTCAGTCACGGTCCAAGTTTCAGATCTGGCAGTTTAAAAGTCATGCAGGGTGCATGTGCGTGAATGCCTAAGGTCCAAGAGGAGAATAGAGGAGAAGAGATTGCGGTGGCATGGCCATCCCCCGGGGAGGGTAATTTTTCACTCTGTGTCTGTCTCTATGGTGAGCACAAGCATCCTGTAGCAAAAAATTTCTCTAAAAAAAATTAAAGAAAAACATGCAGGATGCCCAAAATCCTGATGGGAAAAAGAAATGAAGAGGATTGTATCATGATCATGTTCCATCAGGGGAATGGATTTTCTCTCTCCCTCTCTTTTTAGTGAATACATTCATCCTCTGGCAATTTAAAAACAAATGTCCTGCAATAATTTTGGAAAGTCATTTATATTTTAGAACAAATGTTTTTTCAGTTCTTAAATTGAAGGAAAAAAGAAAACAAAAGAGGGACCAGCACTTAGTGTTAACGGCTATGTCACTGAACTCCCACGTAGTCGACGCAGTTCGAGTCCCAGACCCGGTGGCTTAAACTCGTGCTGGGTGCATGTGAGTGCATGTCTAAGATCCCAAGAGGAGAATGGAGGAGAAGGGACTGCAGCATGGCCATCCCCCCCTGGGGGGGGGGGAGAAGGTGATTTCTTGCTTTCTGTCTGTCTCTGTCTTTCTGGCATAAAAAAAAAAACCAAAAAAAAAAAAAAAAAAAAAAAAAAAAAAAAAAAAAAAGAAAAGAAAAGAAAGAAATAATCTGGGAAAACATAACCTGAGTAACAAAATTTTTTTTCTTTCTTTTTTTTTTTTTTGGATGGGTTT